TCTCCCTCGCATTTTGTTTCCCTTCTCTTCTCTGCTATTTGTAAGGCCTCATTGGACAGCCACTTTGCTTTCTTTTATTTCCTTTTCTTTGGGATGGTTTTCGTTGCTGCCTCCTGTACAATGTTATGAGCCTCCATCCATAGTTCTTCAGGCACTCTGTCCACCAAATCGAGTTCCTTAAATCTGTTCTTCACTTCCACTATGTAGAGGGATAATTTCACTAGTTTTGTGTTTTCACTCTATCTTTTAGTTACTTTGCACTTATAAGGGCCTGTTTTCAATAGATGATGGAGGAGGAACTTTAAAGGAGTGCCAGGTTGTATTCTCATACTCTATGTTGCGTAATGAGCCAGGGGTAAGGTGGATGGGACCAAGATATGTTTTGTATCCCTAGTAACTTGTAGCACTTCAGGGGTTTTTAAAAAAAGAAACCCACACTAAAAAGTAACTGTTTATATACTTTCAAACATGGAAAAGTAAAAAGTTAACTTTTAGAACTGCAACTCTAATGGTCACATGGTGAGGTTGGATCTCTTAGCGGAATCTATAATTAACCTCTTTTAAAAATAACTTTCCAAGCTTTGTAGATAAGTAAAGTTGGACAATTAATGCTAACTTTCTGTTCATTAAAAAAAGTCCAGTGCAGTGGTGCCTCACTTAGTGATGTTAATCCGTTCCGGAAAAAACATCGCTAAGTGATTTAACCGCTAAGCGATATTAAAAAGCCCATAGGAATGTATTAAAACGCGTTTAATATGTTCCTATGGGCTAAAAACTTACCTTAAAGCGAAATTCCTCCATAGCGGTGGCCATTTTGGGTGTCTCTAAAGCGAGGCAAAATAGTAGTGGCCATTTTGGAACCGCCGATCAGCTGTTTTAAAAAGTTCGCTTTGCCATGATCGCTTCCCCGCGATCATCGCAAAGTGAATTTTAGCCATAGGGGCCACTGCTAAGCGATCGCTCCAGCGATGGCCAAAAGTCCATCGCAAAGTGATTTCATCGCTCAACGGAGCGATCGCTAAGCGAGGCACCACTGTATTTGGAAAAACCCTAATCTGACTTTCTCCTTCCTTGTCATCTCTGTCCACAATGCTGGCGTCACTGGGAGGCATTCCCAGAAGGTGACCAGGATTGGTGCTTGAGCTTTACCTTTGTTTCTGTGTCTTGGAAGCACAGAGGGAGGTTTAATAAGGCCCTGAACAACTAACAACAAGTTAGATAATGACATACATTGTTTAAATGTAATTAACATATTCATTTGTTGGTTGCAAAAAGAGCCTGTCATGTAAAATGCTACCAGTGAAAGCTTCCCTTGAAATCCAAACAGAAGCTCCAGAGGGAGATTCTGCGAATTCTAGTTTTTTCTTTTTCTTTTTTTAAAAATTGAACAGAAAAGGAAGGCATTCACAAAAACTACCATTTTACAAAAACCCCTCTTCTTCACTCGGTACAACCCACCCCCCTCTCAGGACTAGATCAGTGTTCTCTATATATTTCGAATTGCCTATTTCTCTCCAGTAATACGTTGATTCTTATTCCGGTGTATACCCCTTTCCTTTCTGAAATACATGTACCAAAAACAAATTCCATTTGGAGTTAAAATCATTTTGGAGTTCTAGTTTAAAAACTTAACTTTTCCAAGCTCTACGTCAGCTGTCCTTCATAAAAATACTTTGGCTTTTATTTCAGAGGCAGTACCATGACACAACAATCTATGAACAAAGGGCGATAAACAGGATTTTGGTAGGAGGAGGCATACTGCTGGGTTGCTTATTACATTTTTATACCACACTTATTGACTACAGCTCTCTGGAAATTCACAAATAAAGTTTAAAACAATAATTTATAAGAATACAATAAAATACAAGGCAAAGACTAAATTAAAACAGTCAGACAACAAAAGCAAGGCTAAACCAACAGCAGAGAACAATAGTTTAAAGATCTAGAAGGACTATCACATATTTAAAATGAATGAATGAATGAATAATTAAAATAATAGAAACCTGGGAGAATAGAAAGATAATTGGTGATCTACCACAGTGTAAGTGTCTGGTGAACTACTCTGTGAGTTTTATAATCACAATGTCAGCCTTATAAAGCCTCTTAAGGTAATATGAAGGTTGGAAAGAAACATCTTCAGCTAGAAATTGTACTGAAAGATCGTAAAAGTTAATTCTCCATTTCAGCTTTTGACACAAACACCAATATCCTGTATGCCTCATCACTAGTCATTGATACAAAATTTGGTTCTGGTTCTCTTGCTTGCTCCTAATAGTACTCCAAGCGTTAATCATCAGCAACTCTATCTTTTAATGCACAAAATGTTTTGGTATCAGCCATGCGTCTGAGATTTCCAATCTGCTGGCTGCTTCTGAATCGTTTCCCCAATGATTTTCAAGACATTCACGTTTAACACACCAACTGCCAATGATTCCGAACCTTTTAAATAAATACATATCCACTCATTCCTCTCTTGCATTTTTGCAGATGCCTGAATAAGCATGACCTAGAGAACTACAGTATCTTGGTCATTAGCTGTTCTGTTCATCTCCTCAGAGCACAGAAGCAATGGAAACATGGCTCTTCATCATTTTCTGTAAATGCTGTGTTCTGGTGAAATCTTAAGCTACATGCCCCATTCACACGATTTTTTAGGGATCCAACCAAAGGCACCTTCCACTTGTGACACCTTCCCATGTCCCTGTGCTCTCTTCCCCTACCTTCTTGCTTCACACAGAAAATCCGCAAAACAGGAAAAGTTGGAATAACGGCACAATCTCTTTTGACTGGTAGTGCCTGCAGCCATCTGGATGAAAGCACCCTTAATGAACATAGACTGTTTTTCCCCATTCGCCTTTTTAGTTAAAGCTGCAAAATGTGCATCATTTTGTTAGACAGAGTGATGACATCATCATACAAATGAGACATTGCAATTTAAGCATTTTTTCACTTCTCTGAACAAAGGTGAGAATAAAATGAGTAAGTATCCTTTTACTAAGTCTAAATAGGCAATGATTCCACTAAAACAATGACAAAACTTCCCTGTAGAGGTATGAAAATCCAATTTTATATCTTTGCATTTTTAGAACTTATTTCAAGAGATGATAAAAGTACAACGTTCTCATACAAAATGCTGTGAAATAAACTAAGTATTCTTGAACTGATGGGAACAAAGATGTGTTGAAATTGTGTGAAATGCTGACAAATTTTAGAAATTCCAACAATTCTTTATTCCAACACAGCAGACTGGTTTTCTGGAGAAATTCTGAAACCAACCTGTTTGATGAAGGTGATCTCTTGCTAATTCAAATAAACGCAAGTGCATATTTGTTATAGGATTAAAGGATCCACAGGCAAGAAGGGTGAGGGGTATCAAACGCTTCATTTAGGTGAGCAATCTTCAGCAGCAACACCACAAACCTTAAAAGAGAAAATAACAGTTAAAATAACCCAATCAAGTAAGATATGTTTAATGCATTCCTCAAGACAAGAAACAGTGAATTAGTATTTTCAAAACAGCCTGCTAGGGGACTAATTCAGCAGACCAGCCATAATACTGAATCTGTATAAGTGAACATAGGTAATGCGTTAGTTTCCTCCAAGCGAAGTCCCTCTAAATATTTAGGACCACCATTCTCATCAGACCAAACCAAAACAGCTAATAATCAACAACAGAGGGAGTTATAATCTAAAATATCTAGAAGATGAATAATACTACACGTGAAATCTAACCACTAGCTAAAATCCAGTTGTTGTAACTTTACACTCCACAACAAGGACAGCATCATTAGTCAGTGATAGAATTATTTATTTTAATTTAAAACTTCTTATGCCCACTTCAGTTTCAGAGGCTCCCTAGGGTTTCTTTTTGCTCTGGGAAAGTTTGTGTGAGCCCTGGTATGATAGAAATGGGACTTTTTATATTGGAAGATCATAGCTGGATGGCTGGCGGTAGTTCTGCCTCTAGACTGGGCCTGCTGGCTGAGATTTTCTGATCTCAAAGGCCCTCTCCCGTTCTGAGGCCCCCAAAGGCTTCTCGAGGGCACAATGAAGGCCTAGGAAGCCTTGGAAACTGAGGAAGTTTTAAATAATATTGAATTAAAAATTTCACTCACAAACTGATGATGTCATCCCATTGTGCAGTACTTACTGCAACTGGATTTCAGCAGCTAAACAAATATCAGTGTTTTAAAAAGGAAGGATGGGAAGATACATCTGCCTCATACTCAGTTGTTTTAGACATCTACACTCTACCACATTGTCCCACCAGATCCTCAACATAGATCACAATACACGATATAAGAAAATATTTTTTTACTATGCTCAAGTACTTTCACAATTTTCTATCACCTCCATTCATTCATTCATTCATTCATTCATTCATTCATTCATTCATTCATTTCCACACTATCATTTTAGTATCATTATCCTGTGTATTGGTAACCCCTCTCCCAGAGTAAACTCTGGGTCAACATAAAAAAACACAGTTGCATCTATTTTCATTATAACTTCACTGAAATCACATGTTATGGCTGGTTGTCACTCTGAAGGAAACTGACATTAGCACCAATGATAGTTTTCCTTTCTGGAGTAATGGCAGCTTTAGTGAGTGGGACTTGTCTGGCTTTCATCAGCACCAGAGCTTGGAAACACTGGCTTTAAATGTGAAATTGGGAAAAAATGTTCACATTGAAATAAAAGGGAGGTGTGTAATCATTACAAAATCAACAGTAGGCAACGCCTTTACAGACCACTTAAAAATTATCATACAGTCTTCTAGCTTTTATGGATCAGGACCACTTCATCAGTCAAGCAACAGTGTGAAGAATTTGAAGTTCAAAAGTTCATGGCAGGATAGATTTTGCCAGGAAAGTTACTCTTAAATGTAACTGCTGGGGTTAACTGCTATAGCAGTATGACAATGGAACCAATTACCTCGCCAAGGAGGTGGTGAGCACTTTAACACTGGACACAGTCAAACTGGAAAATTGGACAACCGTCTGTCAAATCTGCTTTGATTTGGATTCCTGCATTTAGCAGGGGTTTGTACTTGATAGACTTATAGCCTACTTCCAACTCAATTATTTACGGTTCTATGTAGAACCCAAAAGTTCTTAGTGAGATGGATTTCAGCAGATATGTCTTTCTTAGATGTAAGTCAGAAAAGGTTTAGGTTGCATTAGAGTTCTTGTTTTAAAGTTACAACTGAGGCAGTTGTGCATTAGATATAACACCCTAGTTCTTCAAACAAAGAGGCAAATGTCATGCACAGACACCCCTTCCTATCTGGATTTTCTTTGAAATGGATACTGTATTTTTCTGCTTAGCTAGGAAGGGGTGGGGATGACACACAGAACCTGACTCCTCCATTGGGGAATTGCCATGATAATTTAGCAAACTCACTAGGTTTAGCCAATTGGGATCAGATTAAAATCTGATTAATATTAATATTACCTAGTGGTTGCAATCATGTTTTGCTGATGTTGAGAATCTATGTGTCTGTTAACTGTTAGTAACATATTGCTTTGAAATACAAACATACAAACATACAAACATACATGCATGCATGCATGCATACATACATTTATATATATATAAATCAATTAAAATAAATAAAAATAGCCAATTACCCCAAATTACCCATCAGACAGTAAATTAAAGTAACATCAAATGGTAATTAGAGTTACTCAATTAATTTTGATGGAATTTATTCCAGGCTGTATGTAATTAGAATCACAGTGCAGGTTAACAACCGCTTACATGGCCAATGTTATCCACCCCATCCTCAAGTATTCATGTGTGCTTAAAAAGAAGCCAGATAAAAATGATCTCAAACCAAACTTGTATCATCAGTTTGGTTTCTGTTAAACTAGTATCCTCACTTCTGTCACTATTAATACCCATGACCTTATTTCAAACTTACTTTATCTTGCAATATCAAACCATTCTTTCAACTGAGTTTGGTAAAGGTGTTTCCTGACACCCTATAAAATGTCTAACTGCGCCCCCTAGAAGCCTCAGGAGCCTATGCTTTGCTGCTTAAATTTAGCTTTGTCCCCCAAGCCCGTTTCTAGACTAGAGGGGTTTTTTTTTTTAAAGAAATGCAGAATATTGCTCAGGGTCCCAGGTACACTATTCCAGTCTCCTGCTGTTCTCCAAACCATTCTATTCTATGAACATTTCAGGATCATCAAGCATGTTTAATCTTCATCAGGCTATTACAGGATTTCCATTCATCCTTTTAATTATTTTTCATTTCTAAAAATTATTCAAAGCTGGCTGGATAGCTCAGTGACTTGGGTACTTGGTTCCATGACCAAAGGCTGGAATTTCAATACCTCCAAGGAGAACAGCTAGCTCTATATAGCATCAGGCAAACTGCACTGTCCTACAGTTCCATCAGAAGAAGGCAATGGCAAACCACTTCTGAGTACTCTCTACCTAGAAAATCCTAGAACGGCTGGCCAAAAGATAGAATCAACTGGACAACATGCCATTATTTATTGTCACCTGAAGGTTTCCCCAAGTTCACTGAAAACTCCTTGTGTGAATAGGGGGAAAAGGTATAGGTAATGGTCAAACATTCAAACATAGAAGTAATGGTCATAATAATAGTTATAAGTCCATTCAGGCGATAAAGCATTTGTGGTAATACCACTGATTTTTATTATGCTTTACACAATGGCTGAAATTCTGCTGCATAGCAGGGCAAATACAGCAGGCCTATTGAATCAGTGGCCATATTGCAAGTCAACATTGCAAGTCATTAACTTCATACGTAAATTCCATTAATTCAAATGGGCCTACTGTAGTAGCAGCTTATTACAGTAAAGTCATAACTGGAGTAAACCCATTTGAATTAATGAAGGAGCTGACTCATCAAAAGCCCTATTTATTCAATGGGCTTACTGTAGTGCAGCTTACTACACTAAGCAACAACATTTCAGCTACTGTACCATTTTGGCTATGCTAGCAATAGCACTCATAATCTCAACACCAGAAACCAATGGAATGATAAGCTGGAAAGCAACACCTACTGTTTATGCCTGAAATATCTGTATTATCTTAGAGTTCCATATAAACAAGACACAACTTTTTTTAAAAAAATGAAAATAGTGAAATTCTATTGAGCTATAAGATGGTACAATATAGTAACAAACAGAAAGAAAAGGCTGGGCAGGGGGACTCCTTACTGCACTCAAGGGAAATCTAAAACCAAGGAAACCTCATCCTAATACAGCAATTTTACAAGGTAAAATATGAGTTCTGTATTTAAAGACAAGGTTGGTCAATTTATTCTTCCCCTGAGAAAGCTTCTACAGCTGCATTGACAAAACTGAAAAGAAATGACTATCGTTTTCACTTGCTGCCAGCCTAAAAGGAATGGCTTGTGGCATTTGGCAAAAGACTCTCTTGCTGACAGAATGGAGCGTTGGTTCTCCTCTACAGTGAAAAGAAGAAGGTGGTGATATCTCTAAAAGCAGAGTCTTCAGGTGAACTGCAAAATCCTCCCTTATTAAGAAGTGTTATCAGACCCGACTATACATAGAAAACAGTGCCAAAGAATCCAAGCACTTTCTATTCAATTTAGCCGATAGCTGCGAACTCAAATTTTCATGCTCAGTAGGAAAAAAAAATCCACTTTACAGTTGTAAACTAATGAAAACCTAATTAAGAATACATGACACTGGGAAGCTGCAGCTTTTACTGCCATGCTTGTATCAACAAACATTGTACATTAAGGGTCATTAAGAAAGGTTCTGAAAACGACTTGTTTCAAGACAAGAAAAGCACTACCTAGTTAGTAAAATTCTGCTCAGATGTAAATGAAAGTCAAGAGCCACTTCGGACTTCTTAATTTCAAATAGGATTATAGTACCCTGAAATAAAATGTGCATACACTGTTCAGTCTCTTAAAGAAACTTCACCGAATTCCTCTCTAACAAGGGTCTCTGTTAAATAAGCAAACCAATAGTAACTTTCTCATGGGGGGTGCAGGGAAGGAAAATAAAATTAAGGAGCTTTTCTGTTACAGCCTTGTTCATAAAGAAAAGAGGTGGCTGGAGATAGCTGTCGTCAGATCACTGCTTTCAACCTAAAAGGCAATGAGACCAAAGTCAGGGTGGTCCTTTCAGGCTCATCCCCATCCTTGCATGTAGAGAAAATGCTTGAAGAATGAAAACAATAACAACTACAGTAATGTGTTAACTGGTATAAGACACGGCTACTTTTTTATGTATTCTGTTTGTGTATACACACTCTCCACTCACTCACAACATTAGAAACATAAGAAAAGATGCAGGCTGGATGATACCAAAAGCCTAACTAGTCCAGCATTCTAGGCATATTGGTTGGATGCTTGTGGAACGGACTATACAGGGCCTGAGTACAATAAAATCCTTGCACTTGTGTTCTTCTAT